TTTCTCCCCCCGCCCCTTTCTTTCTTCTTTTTTTTTTTTTTTTGGTTCTAACCTCGCTTCCCAGTGAGGGACAATGTTTAATCACCATGTCAGCGGTTGAATTTGAACTCGAAGTCAAAAGATCCTATTTTGATTTTGTCCTCTGGCCTACAGCCAGCCCCCCAATAGCACTTGCAGAAAGAAAGGAGGAGCAGGTTTCTAGGTCTGGGTTATCAACTAGGTGGCTGCGTGGCCTCAGGCAACACCGTACACCCATTTGCGCAGAGGTCCCTTCTGCAAACCTGGAAAAGACTGCTAGGTCCCATTCGGGCAAGTGGCCTTGTGGTTCCCCCGCCCAAAACAAGGCGCCGAGGGCCGTCGCCCTCCGAACCACAAAGCCTTCCAAGGCTCCCAACACTCTTGCCCCACCACACACCCGCAACCCGGCCCCCGCATCACCTTCCGCTCCCCAGGACCCCCGTGGGACGCGCCGGCGCGCACCGCACCTTCACCGAACTACACCTCCCACAATCCCGATCGGCCGAACCACCTTCGCGCCAGGTGGGGGCGGAGGCGGAGCTTGTCGTCCGGGGGCTGGACGAGGCCTCCCAAGGTGTCCTGCCTCTGTCCTCTTGGGTAAAGTGCATCTTATGACAGATTCTCAGTTTTCCTGGTAAGGCAGATCACCTCTCCCGATCAGGGACAATACTGCCCTCCGCACCCTCGGGGTCCCCTCCATGTAGAGCGGCAGATGGTCTAGCCCGGTGGAGACGGCGGCCGCCGGCCTCGGCGGAGACACCGGGGACGTGCAGGGCGGCCGTGCACGCATGCGCGAAGGCGCAGCATGGAGGCGGGAGCCGCTGAACTTCTCCACTGCGGAGGTGAGCAGGGGCGGGGCGGGGCGGGGCGGGGCGGGGCGGGGCTGACCTCCCCCCTCTACGGCCACCCGGCGCATAGCTGCCGCCACCTCAGCCAACTATAAAAGCAGTTAACCCCAGTTGTCCAGAAAATAGGGAGGGTGCCAGGAGCTCCGTTTTAGGATTTACATATAAGAATCCCACTTCCAATTCTGTCACTTTCCGTATTTCATTGCCATTGGCTGTGTACAAGTCTTCCTCCTCTACTAGACCTTGTTTTCACAATAGCAGCGAACCGGTCCGGAGGGCTCGCGGTTCCTCTTGATTTCCGGGCCTCCGACAAATAGCTCCTTCCTAACGAGCTGTGGAGCGTAAAGTCTTTTCAACATATGATTCTATTCAGTCTAATATCAGCCTGGAAACATACTTTATCTGGTTCTCTGGTTCATGTGCGGAAGTCTTATCAGACTTCGTGCCTGGCGCGGTAGCTCACGCCTGCAATCCCAGCGCTTTGGGAGGCAGGGGCGAGAGGATTTTCTGAGCTGGCGGGTTAGAGACCAGCCTGGGCAACATGGTGAAACCTTGTCTCTACAATAAATCAAAAAATTACCTGGGCGTGGTGGCGCACGCCTGAGGTGGAAGGATCGCCTGAGGCCAGCAGATTGAGGCTGCCGTGGCCGTGAGCAGCTGAGCGGCGTGCCACTGCACTCCAGCCTGGGTGACAGAATGAGACTCCTACTCAAAAAAAGGAAGAAGACACCTTGAGATCATGAACACCATGATAGCAGTAACTGAAGAAATAGAGGTGCTGCTGAAGTTTATAATCTGTTGAGATACAGACAGTTAAGCAAATGCCTTATTGTTCCCTAATCGTAACCAGTTTGTTTACACTTGTTATGTGACTTGGTCCAGTTGCTTAACCTTCAGGACCTATGTTTTCTCATAAAATGAGAAGATTGGGTTAGATGATCCCTAAGAACTTTCCAGCTCTTAAATTCTGTGGTTAGCTAGTGAGGAGTGTAATCCATATTATATTACATATGCTAATGCTAACTAAACTTCATCAACTTATGTTTTTCTCTGCTATCATCTCTAAAATATAGCTATAAAAACTAAGCTGGGCTGGGCGCTGTAGCTCACACCTGTAATTCCAGCACTTTGGGAGGCTGAGTTGAGAGGATTGCCTGAACCCAGGGATTCAAGACAAGCCTAGGCAACTTGGCGAGACCTCGTCTCTACAATAAATAAAAAAAAATTAGCCAGGTATGGTGGTGGACACCTGTGGTTCCATCTACTTGGAAGGCTGAAGTGGAAGGATCATCTGAACCCAGCAGGTCAAGGCTGCTCTAGCCATGAGCGTGCCCCTGCACTCCATCCTGGGTGACAGTAAGACTCCAACAAAAAAAAAAAAAAAGAAAGAAAGAAAGAAATTTGACAGCAGCATGGGAAAGAACTTCCCCTTATTGTACTTGTAATTTCATGCCCTACCATTTTTCTTATTACTGAAAATAGGAAATTAATTAATAATACAATTTCATTCAACCTATGTTTGTTGTCATTTCATAGATTGCTGCTAGGAAGAACTCTGTACAATGATGGATACAATGTATGCGATGATGGCTCAAATCTTAAGATCTCACCTGATTAACGTTTCAGTGATTCCTAATCACGTGAAAATGCTTCCGTTTCTTGGAGTCATCAGAAATAGAATGATGTCAACCCACAAATCCAAAAAGAAGATCAGAGAATATTATCGGCTGCTGAATCTGAATGAAGGATGTTCTGCAGATGATGTCAGGGAATCTTTTCGTAAGCTTGCCAAGCAATACCATCCAGACAGTGGCTGTAATACCGCTGATTCTACAACATTTATAAGGATTGAAGAAGCTTATAGAAAAGTGCTTTCCCATGTGATAGAACAAACAAATGTTAGCCAGAATAAAGTTGAAGAAGCAGAAGAAGAAGAAGAAAAATTCAAATATAAAACACCCCAACACCGGCATTATTTAAGTTTTGAGGGTATTGGTTTTGGGTCTCCAAGTCAGCGAGAGAAGCAGTATAGGCAATTTAGGGCAGACCGTGCAACTGAGCAAGTGATGGAATATCAAAAACAGAAACTACAAAGTCAGTATTTTCCTGATAGTATAACTGTTAAAGATATAAGACAGAGCAAAGAACAAAAGATAACTCAAGCCATAGAGCGTTTAGTGGAAGACCTTATTCAAGAATCAATGGCAAAAGGAGACTTTGACAATCTCAGCGGGAAAGGGAAACCGCTCAAAAAGTTCCCTGCCTGTTCATATATTGATCCCATGACTCACAACCTGAACAGAATTTTGATAGATAATGGATACCAACCAGAATGGATCCTGATGCAAAAGGAAATAAAGGATACTATCGAGCAACTCAGAAAAGCAATTTTAGTGTCTAGGAAAAATCTTGGGAATCCAATGACTCCAGCCAAACAGAAACAATGGAACCAAGTTTGTGAGCAGTTTCAAGAAAATATCAGAAAATTAAACAAGCGAATTAATGATTTTAATTTAATTGTTCCCATCTTGACCCAACAAAAAGTCCATTTTGATGCACAGAAAGAAATTATCAAAGCCCAGAAAACATATGAGACCCTTATAAAAACAAACAAAGTTGCAGATAAAAACCCAAATAACATTGAGCAGGAAGTAGAAGATAAAACACCTGGAGTTAAGACAGGTTTTTTCAACTGGATGAGTCTGTGGAAATATATTAAAATCTGATCATTTTGATGTTCACTATCACAGTACTGCCTCAAATCATTTTTAGTTCCACTGACATTTAACCTAGAGGCTGAGATATATTGCTGAAACAAGAACTTAAGAACTGTGTGCCTTTGCACTTTTCACGAGACTGATCACATCCCCTATCATGTGAGAGTAACAAAACTATCAGGTTTGCACCATTTTCCATTTTCAAAAACAAGTACTTCAACAACAACAAAACATAAAAATGTATTATCGAAAGTCACAAAACTGAAGAAGTATAATGAAATTTAACCAACTAAACCTCCAAATGATATGTGGTCTTTGCAAGTTTGCTGCATTTATATGCCTGAACTTATTAAAGTTCAAAACTGTTCTAAGATTTTTGAGATACCTTCTAAGTGGGTAGAAATGTTAAAATCAGGAAATTAGCCAACTGAAACTACTGCACTCTTCTTTTTACAATGAAGGTACTGAATTTTTAAAAACCCAAAACACCAAACAATGTAGGTTGTACATTTTCCTGTCTACCTTCATGATTTATTGGCTGCAGAAATCTGTCAAGTTACTTGATTTAGCAATTCTAGAACTAGACTCCAGTGTTCACTTTTAAAGAGTTTGTGTGTTTTCTCACCTTTCAGAGGTGATAAAAATCCTTGGACTTGATGACAATGTAAGATTTAACTTCTAGCATCATTTCTCATCAGAGATTGAAATGTTAGATTTTCATAAACCTACCTTAAGCCTCCCTGTGTCTTTAATCAGACCCCCACATGGATTTATAGCCATGTGAAAATTCTAACTTGTAGGGACCCTATAATAAACAAAGACCAGATGTCGGAATTGTGTGCCTCTGCATCTTTGGCAAGTGACAAGACATTGACATCCATGAGATTGTTGTGTTCCATCCCTTTCAGAACATCTGACTTTTTTAGGTTGTATAATTGCTTTTGCCACACAGAGGCAACTGGGAAGAACGTGGAGTGTGGTCAAAGGAGCTGGTGTGTTTCCTTTTCTAATCCAGAACGCTGTGTTATAGATATGGTCAGGAAACAAAGCACTCATCACTTGCATTTTGGAAATACAAATTATTTTGTCATGTGTGTGATTGTTAAAACAACAAATAAAACTATACCTTCAAAAGGAAATTTGGGGCCTTCTGTTTAGATGCTGCAGCATCAATTGGCATAATATGGGGTTATATTATTGAACACATAAGTCATTAATTCACTTGTTTAATTTTCTGATGTTCTTTTGTCTTCTACAATGATGGTATGACCATAAATAAAATTGTGAGCAGTATGAAACATAGTTTAATAACAAGAGCTTTAGTTCCTGAAAGATTTTAGAAGGTGGTAATTCTGTGAATTTTGTTAAAAATGGGAATTAGATGTAAGAGGCCTAATTGCATTACTGCAACATAGAGGAATGAAGCCATTTTCAACATTTATCAGAAAATTCCAGGAAACTCTTAATTTCAGCACAGCGTACTTTATGTTTGCTTGTTTGTGAGTTAGAGTCTTAATCTGTCACCCAGGCTGGAGTGCAGTGGCACACTCACGGCCACTGCAGCCTTGACTTGCTGGGCTCCAGCGATCCTTCCACCTCAGCCTTCCAAGTAGCTGGAACTACAGACGTGTGCCACCGTGCCTGCTAATTTTTTTATTTATTGTAGAGACGAGGTCTCGCCAAGTTGCCAGGTTGGTCTCAAACCCATGGGCTCAGGCAGTCCTCTCACCTCGGCCTCCCAAAGTGCTGGAATTACAGGTGTGAGCCACTGAGCCCGGCTGTACTTTATGCTTGTAAATATTGCCAATATTAAAAGATAGTAATTGTAATGATTATTCAATACCCCCCCTTTTTTTTCCAGTCAGAGTTTCACTGTTGCACAGGCTGGAGTGCGGTGGTATTCTCATAGCCACCCCAGCGTCGACCTGCTGGGCTCAGATGATCCTTCTGCCTCAGCCTTCAGAGTAGCTGGAACTACAGGTGTACACTACCACAGTCAGCTAATTTTTTTTTTTGACATATTGTAGAGATGAGGTCTCACCACGTTGCCCAGGCTGGTCTTGCCCAGGCTGGGCTCAAGCAATCCTTTTGCCTTGGCTCCCCAAACTGCTGGGATTACAGGCTTGAGCCACCAGGCCTGGCTTGGCCCTTGTTTTAATAGTAATAATAATAATATTTTTGGCTGGCCATCGAAATACATTTTTTAAACTGTACCCCATAACTTAA